AAATGAAAACAACCCCCCCACCCCCCCCCTAAAATTCCAGCAAACCTGCATGGGGAAGCGGTCTGTGGGAAGGGAAGGCAGCCAAGCAGATTCAACACAAGCTAGTCACCGTGTGATGGTGGGTGTCACACCGACTGTGTTTTCTGTTTATTTTTAAACCATGCACTGGGAGAAATATACAACTAACTTATTCTGAACCTGGATTACTCTACTAGACAGGAATGCTACAAATAAGCAGCCAAACAGTATAATGTATCTGATTTTAAATTTTTAAAAATTGGAATTGAACTAAAATAGTCACTGATTGTTATAACCTCTACATTACACCAAATAGCCTTTTTAAAAAAATATAAAGGAAATAAAACAAAGACAGATCAGAAAACCCATGAATTTTCAAATACAAGGGAGAAGAAAACCCCACAATTTATTTTACCAAATGCAAATTTTTTAGGAATTGGTTTTGACTCCCTAAATTTGCCATAAGCCCATTATGTTAAAAATTGTTCTTTCAAGGGGATTCCCAAGTTGAGTAGAGTTTGAGACAGCTGCCATCACAGAAACACAGCCAAGAGCTAAATGTTTGGTAGCAAATTTATTTCTGTAACTTGGGGGGAGGATATAAAACTCTCCTCTCTTAAAAACAAAAATAAGGTGCATTTATTCATTTTTTAAATTATGCAAAAGTGCTTCCTGTTTCAAGAACTGAATAGGATAGGCTAGCCTATTTAAGAAAAGTCACACCCTTATTCATAGGAAGCATGAAATCTGCTGCCAATCATTTCTCGTAAGATACATTTAATAAAATGGAAAACAGAACCGTCTGCAGTTAATGTCAAAGTGCATAATTCTCAGCGATTTATTTCTAGTCAGAAGGAAGATACTGAGCTTTATCCTCACAAAGCAGCTGACATGTGATTAAGAGAACTGCAAAATTTACTCATCTAAACCTTGGTAGACCAAGGTCCCCATTCTTTCTTGCTCAAGAAGGAAAAACTTTTACTGGCTTACGAGAGCAAAGAAGATTACATTAAACATTTGGGTGAGGGGGAAAAACCCTGGATTTCCTTTTTTTAATCAAAGGGATTTTGGATTGTGACAAACTGTTAACTATTTCTGTAATTTATGGACAATCTCCCCTACCAACAAAAGTGATCTACAAATCTAATTATCAGAATTTAAAAAAAAATCAAGCTTATTCCTATCAAGAATATATACATTTGTAGATCTTTAAAGAGCAAAAGAAATAAGATATTCAGCCAAATCCATAAAAGGGTTGCATTGCTGAATGGCAACTGTGAAAAATGTTGGTCATGTGAATAGCCTTTCTCTGCCAATGTTGTCAAATTTTGCCACAAAACCGTAAAGAAGTTATATGGAGGAAGAAGAGAGGTGTTCACCGCCCTGTCTTAGTTTGGCAATAATCTGGAATACGATGGTTTCTCATGCATCGCATTTAACCTAGAATATATTCTAGTACTTTACAGACTTGAGTAGGGCACCATGAACTGTCAAATTCCAGGAAGCAGGATTACTTCTGTCACCTCAAAACTAAAAAAAGATCCATTAATTTTAGTTTTATACATACTCTATGCATATTTCTGTGTACCTTCTCCCATATTTGCAAAAGATCTAAAATCGGTATGAAAACCTTTGAGATTGGTGGACAAGGCACTCTTAGCCACTCAAAGGAAAATTCCATTTCATTCAGAAACACAGAAGCACGAAGAGGAACCCAACACCAACCCTTTAGAAGCACCTTTAATAGCTGGCTTAATTCCTTTCAAATGTGTTTTTACCATTATCGAATAAAATTGGAATGCTATTTAAAAAGAATGTAGCAAAACTAAGGGAACCCAGAGAACGGTCACAGATTGGCAGGATCTTATGGTTTTGCCACTTAGGGCTTTGACTGTCAATGGTGAGACAGGGGTCCTTTTCACAATGTGCAGAAAAGTTTAAATGAGTTCTCATCCCATACTGTTATCTTGGCTGGAGCCCACCTCAACTTCTCCTGGAGCTGAATCAGAGCCCTGAAAAGCAGATTCGGGAAGATGGCGACCAATCAGGAGAGGGCAAGACTGAAGGAAAGGTACAAGACTGGTGAATCAGAAGGAAGAACAAGACCCAGAGAAACTGTAAGATGTTTAGAGCGTACAAGAATCAAATCTGCTTAGCTTTTTCTTACAGAAACTGGTGAGGCAGAGGTGACAAATTAGCTGAAGTGAGCTTTACTGGAGAGCTGACAAAGTAGCAGAGAAAGGGGCGATGTCAGGAAAATGAATCTACTGATACCCATCATTCCAGTACAAAGGGTAGGTTATTCTACATACCAGTGTTCCCAAAACTGGCACTTCCCAGAGATACGGGACTACCAACACCTGTAATTTGCAGCCAGTGAATTCCTGAGTTGGGAACTATGGTAGTCGTGCATCACATCTGGAAGATTCTCTAGGCCATGTTGTAAAAGCTGCATTTAAATGAGAATGAAGAATTATAAAAGAAAAGGAGCATAGAGATACCATAGAAGAAATGCTTTATAATCAAGACTTCTTAGAGCATAAAAGTCAAAGGAATGTTCTGTATGACTGCGAAAAATTACATGTAATGCTAAGTCAAAGAATCATTAATTCTTCCAAAGGAACCATCCAATGGAAAAAGATCACAAAGATGAATGGAAGCTGCATAAGGGGAGATTTATTTCAGGAGGACTTGCAGATGAGCCTCCTGCCACCGGATTACGGCCTCTTCTGAAATAAACTAATTTGCACTAGAGTTCTAAGCAACTGATTTTGCCAAAACGGCAGCTGAGCATAACTCCCAATGACTGAAAAGGTATTTTGAACGTGGTACCAGGTTAGTTCCAATTGGAATGTCAAGATTTACATGATGGACGACATGATGTTAATTTGATTCAAAATAATAGAGACGATGAGCAATTCTCCTTTCCAGGGAAAAGAAGGTCCTGCTCAAGAGCAACATGGAAATTTTAGGATAAACATTGCAAATAACACAGAAGATAAACCTGCCAGGTTCTGGTGTAAACTTGATCATTCCAAACCAATAAACAAAACTAAAAAATCTCAGAGCTGTTGAGGAATGAATGCTTTTGGTGGGGCCACAAAATAAAGGCAGCATCTCTGAACAAGGTTTTCTAAGCTGTTGTCAGAAATCACTTTACAAACCAAAGATGTGACAGCAACTGGGATAGCAGTGACCCCAAAACAGACAATCTACTTAGTTCGAAAAAAGTAGACCCATTTGTAATCCCGGGGCCAAGAACATTCTGCCTGTAAAAGGGATCCATCTTGCCAAGTTAATTCTTAATTAAAAATTCAATAAAAAGCACAAAGCAAAGCAGATACATGGAATGGTGTTCCTATGCTGAAGAGATGCAAGATCAGGATTCACAACTGCAGTGTGTTTTTGTATCGTGAGTAAAAGCTTTTGGATGGGATATACTTCTTCCAGTAACAAAAAGATGAAAGGTCGTGTTTACCTCCAATGCACCACGAACTCTGAATGCTCCAGTGCACTGCTTCATGAAAGACTGCAGGGCAAGCCGTCCACAGTCTACATTTTCATCGGCGGATCTTTTCTGCAAGTATGGTATGGGGTGCGTTTCATCTGGAACTGCCCGTGAGATTTTCAGACTTCCCTAAGTGTCAGTAAGTGTTGCTTGAGTCTACAAAGTTATAGATTTTGAGCACTGATTGAAAGAGCGTGGCCAGAATGGCCCCACAGCCGGCTCATAAACAGAAAGAAATCGGCCACATTGCAGATCCAAAATAGAAATGTCCATGGAATCAGACCTGCCTCTTAGCCGACTCAGACAGGAGAGCTTCCCAGATGGAACGTGCAGCTGGCTTAAAACGGGTTTTAAGGATCGGACAGGTTTCTCTTGGGCCCAAAGCTGCTGCTTGGTTTATAAGCTTTATGGATCTAGCCAACTATGTATGCTGTGGAATATTCAGTTTAAGCTATGAAGTCTTTCTGAGCCACTTAACCCTCACACCATGTTGAAAGTGGCTGCAAATGCTTTCATATGTAGTCCTGACCTCCTACCAATCAGTTGATTCTTGTTATTTTAAAATCCCCAAATGATTCTTATTGTAAAAGGATCGATGTTATTGTTCAGGTTGGATACTGTGGAATATGGAAAGGAGGGGGGAAAAATTAAAACAACAAACCAAAACAAAATTTCAGCAAAACCAAATCAAATTTAATTGGTCTTAAATGCAAAAGTAAAAACAAACAAAAACACAAAAAAGCAAAAGAAAATTAACAGAAAACAGAACTCAAAGTTTCAAGGCAGCCTGAAGAAAACTTTGGGGATTAATTAAAATCTTAAGTCTACAAAATCAAAATTTTGTCTCTTCAATCTCTAACTTGCAAGTTTTAATGTACTTCTCTGCTGAGCATTCAATATGTAAAGCTATTTGTCAAAACCAACTATTAAAATATGAAAAAAAAATCTAGTAATTATTAGACGGGATGCAAAAAATTATGATGCTCAAATGTTTGCAACATCTTCATAAGAGAATTCTAAGAACTCAGTTATTCAAACTAGAAATATGTGAAAGTAGATTAATATTAAATCTTGCCACATTTATTTTACCAGAAAGCAATGCACAGAAACACGCTATCTGAAGGTAAAAATTCTGAGGAAGTGGCAATGCTGGGTTTGGAGTTTCATTTTTTCTTTCTTTTTACTCTGAAATCACCCCAGAGTTTTCTCAAAACTCTTTGGTCCTTTTTTATGGAAACTGGGCTTTTAAAGGAAAAACAAAAAGACTCTAATTTTTTTTTTCAGTTTGGGTTTTGCCTACTGAGTGACAAACATAGTCAGTGGTGTTACACAGTGCTGGCATTTCATATTCACCAGACTTCCTTGATGTTACCTTTCACCAATAAATTAATTTTAACTAGCAAATTACTGGATAAAGGAGAAGTTGCTATTAACTAAAAGCATTGCCCAAAGGTACTGGGATCAATAGAAGTTTGGCTGAAGTCCTGCCTTGGCAAACTCTATTCAGTGAAATTAACAGCAGTCTCTCAAGGGAACACAGGCCTGACAGTTTCACTGGCACCCCAGGGTGCAGCTGGTACCATCAATTTAGATTTCAGGGTTCAAGGGGAGATTGCAAACAGCACTACTTGAAAAGGAACTTTAAAAAAACATGAGTAGAACCATTATGGGACTTTTAAAAACCCAAAACATTTGAACATGTCAGTGGCATCCCAGAGTATAAAACCCCTTTCCACTTTTCATTTAGACTAAAGACAAACAACTTTGTGAAAATTGGCGCAAAAAATGAGTTGTACACTAACAAAAACAAAAAAATTCAAACTTTTTCGTCACTCAATTATCTATTCCATACAAAAAAAAAAAAAAAAGAAAGAAAGCCACGAGCGAAGTTATTTGTGGGACTTGTTGGTTTTGAAGGAAACCTGCAAGATTTTGTCCCCCAGCCGGTAGCCGTTAAGACTCGCTATGGCCATGGCGGCTTCTTCATAGTTTGTCATTGTCACAAAGCCAAAGCCTTTACACTTGTTGGTGTTGAAGTCGCGGATGACTTTCACATTAGTCACCGCGCCAAAGGGGCCAAACATCTGCCAGAGGATTCCCTCATCGGCATCTTGGCCAAGGTTGTAGATGAAGATACACCAGCCCGAAGAGGAGTTTCCTGGGACATTTACACCAGAAAGCCCACTCATGTGATCTACACCCATAGGAGAGAACCTAGCAAATAAAAAGCACACAATAGTTCATGTAAACAAAACAAAACAAAAAAGTCAGTTCAATCAAGCAAAAACTCAACAGGGATCAAGATTAGAAACACTGGAAACCCGGTGGTCATCTGTGCACTGTCCACAGAGCAGGGCGTCTGTATTCCTGCAGTGGACAGCGCAGACAGTAAAGGCAGCAGAGCACCTTCTCGGGAAACTGGTGCTTCCCCAACCTTCCTGGACTAGACCCCACTTCATCAGATGTGTGAAGCACTGCCCCCATTTGCCAAAACACATAAATGGGGCGTGAAGGGGGAGCAGGAGAGGAAAGAACAGGCAGACTGTGATCAGAAAGCCGAGAGAGAGAATCAGCAGCAGTTTGGGGTTGAGTCTCAACTTATACACTAAGGAAGAGTGACCTCTTCCCAACAACAATCAGGGTCATTGTTGATCTTTGCTTTCTAGCTATTTTACGTTTGTTTAATGTGAGTAATATGAAAGGACTCCCCAAAAGAATCCACAGCTCTGTCCAGGGTGGGAGCTGGGCGGGTGACAGGACACCGTAGGTTTCTTTCATACTATAGGTATTAAATCAGCATAACATCACTTCTTGTAGCAAAGACCACAATTGCAAAGAGGTCACTTCTCTCAGTTTCTAGATCAAGAGTGGAAAAGTGAGGTAGCCTTCAAGATGCTGCTTAACCCCAATTCCTATCAGGTAGAAAACAAAACAAATTATCAAAAGCAATGGAAGTGGGGTTCATCATCATCTAGAGGTTCCTCACTTCACTTAGATGTTCATATAATCCCATGATTTCGGGGCCACCATACCACCTTTCTAGCACCTGGCAAAGTGGGCTCTACTCCATGGAAGCTTGTGCCACCTTAATGTTAGCCCTTCTGGTGCCATATATTTCTCTGCTGATTTTACTGTCACCCACCAGCAAGGCTATCTCCTTAGAGTCTGAGAGACAGAGATTTATCTACCAGGAACGTCTCCTGTATAGGTCTTAGTGAACAAGAACACAGACAGGATAAGCTGTTCCTACCCACGTCAGCCAGGACCCTTCCACAGCCACAGCTGGAGGTTACGCCACCTGCATTAAGATCTACAGTGGCAGGAGCACGGGCAGGGTGTACTTATGTTTCCCTCCTTCGGTGCCTTTTTTAAAAGGTGCACAAGCAGCACTTAGTTGGCAATCATTATTGTGTGGAAATGACCTGCAGAGGGATGCTACTGAGCCAGGGGATATCTTGGTTCAAAGCGTTCAGTGGGAGATCAGGCAGGCAGAGAGGACCCTTCCCCCTTTGAAGTGGCAAGAACAGATAGATGCTAACAGAACAGGCATGGGTGTCCTCCTCCATCCCCACTCCCCACCCCCAGAAATTCTATTGTTCTCCCACCCAATCCTAACAAACTAAAAGGAGTATTTCCAGGATGCTGCATGGTCCATCAGGAAAAAGACTCCCCCCCCCCCCCCCGAATTGTCATTTCTCTCTCCCACTGATCTACGAGAATGAAGTATCGCACCGTGTCTCACCAGGCTTTGGCTGATATTCTTAGAGATGTCTGCAACATGACAGAATCTCAAAGTCAGATACCTGGGAAGATTTGGGGGTGGGGGCTTCTATTAAGGTAAGAAAAGACTGCTTTTCTGACAGACAAAATAATGCCTCATTTACGAAGCAGAACCAAAGGGCCTGGTAACTGAATTGCTAGCAACTATTGACTGAGCATGGATAATACTCCATTTTTCAAGGTGAATCTACACACTGTGTTCTCTCGACTTGGAGAGTCAGCATATTTAATTGTTCAACCAAATATTCATCCAAGGGGCACCAGGCCTATGCAATGAGACCATCTATGAAGATCATCTTTTGAAGCTGCATCAATTCGGTCAATTTTCCAACACACGGTCTGGAAGATTGCAAATAAGGCAGCATTATTCACTTTCCTTTTCCTCTCCCTGGTGACTTTTCTTCCATTTCCTATTTAGTGCTAATGTTGGCTTTTAGTGACATCCAAAGCAGCAAACTGTTCTTAGTGCATACCCTTCAAATTAAAAATCATTGTTTCAGATTCCACTTTGGAAGGTAAACTTCGCCCACAGCCCACCAATTAAGACTTCATGGCAAGCTATAGTTAGCAACGGAGGGGGAAAAACCTAGAGAGACTAGTTGCGTGTATACAGATCACTCAGGATCCTTCAAACCACATTAACGTGCCACAGTTTGGCACACTAGCCAAATTGAGCCCCATATCCAACCCTGCCCCCATTGTGGATTGTGCCTGGGGACATTAGGAGGCAACCCTAACAAAAAATATCCTTAACTAACGTAACATGGGGATAGGGGTATTATCACCTTACACGGAAGAGGCCGAGTACAGGCAGATAGAAGAACGTTATTTATTTAACATGTGATGAGAATTCTAAGACAAGAATTCTGAAAGAAACCCATTTGATTCTACACTTCAGGAGAATGGAAATTTTTAAAAAGACATGCAAGGGTTTCACTGAGAAGGAAATCTCCGGAAGGAATTTACAGTACGATTGCATGAAAATGAGTGAGGACTTAAAGGGGAACAAAAGCAAAACAGAAAAAGCACATAAGTGGAATAGGACATCCAAAACCAGAGCAGCAGTAAATTAAGAGAGGGCCATTTCCACAATGTTTACAAATGTCTATGTTCACACAGCCTTAATGAATTAGAAGAGCCACTACCGTATGAGATAATGGAAGAGGAGATGAACAAGACTTTTAGGGAAGAGGTGATATATTAAATGAAACAAGCATCAGAGCTTTTGCTACGATTTATTTTAATGCCACGTTTCAAATAAAATTTCTCAATAGAAAATTAACTGTTACAACGTCTTCTGAAGGATGAACTAATCGCTAAGTATTAATGGATTTTTTTTAATGCCAGAAGCTACTAATTAAATGGTTGCTGATGGTATTCTCATTTCTGTTCTGATTCAAACTATTAGTGAGCAATCAATTAAAATTCTAATTGTCACTGACTTGATTATTCTCAACAGAAGAAATCATTACAGATGACACTTAATAAATTCTCAGCTTAGTACTCTCATTCCACTGAGGTGTTTATGGAAAGACTGCTGAATTATTGACTTTACAATTTACAGTATTAAGCAACATTTGAGGATTAGCAATGAAAGAGTTGTTGGGTTTTGGATTTTTAGCAGAGGAAAAAAAGGGGGGGGGGTCCAATTTGTGTCCCGTGGAAGGTTTTCAGGTTTTTCAAAGATCTGATTGACAACTATGGACAAACCTCCCTGAGGACCAAGGGCAGTGGCATCTAGAAATCCAAATCCTGGTTCAGCTTGCATTGCCTGCTTCTCTCCTTCCCAGATTCTCCAGCATGCAACTTCTCTAGAAGTGGTATGAGAAGGGAGACCTCCTTTCCTATTTCTACTTTATACACCTGGGGAGATTTGGAACTTTAAGTTTTGACACTGGGCTTCCCATTCCCAGAAGCAGCTGTCCATCTTCACGGACACCTGGCTATCACTCAGAGATCAAGCATTTCCAGTTAAAGGATCCACATGGGCAGAGCTGGAAAAAGCTGCTAAAAATCCTAAAAAGATACTTTAGAAAGGAAAAACAAAAACTACCCTACCAGGTAGAAGCTTAATCAAGCCTCCACGGCTCATCGGCACTACGCAGGAGAGGGCTGGCTACCCTCTGGCTTATGAGAGGAGGCAGCCAGGACCGTCTCTTAATCTAGTCTTTTGATAAGGGGCAGCTGCAACATAAATCAAATCATCTGTTCAAATGGGGCAATCTTTTGGAAGATAAAAAAGTAGAAACGATAATAAAAGTTCTCAAACTAATGCGTAATTAATAATGGGAAGTATATATGTAGGGACAATCGGTACTTTTAATCCTTTAAAGAATGTAAATCTGACTTTTCATTTGAAAAGAAAACCCTGAACATTACAACAGGTATTCTTGCTCAAAATGCAGTATTTGAACTTGAGAGCTTAGAGAGAAAAACACTGGCATTTGTAGGGAGATTTTAAAAATATATTTGCAGAACTGCCTGTGTGTGGGAGGGAGTCTTAAATATTTTGATTTTTCCAGTTATAAAAAAAGGATGATTTTGTAACCTTTCATAAGAACATACACACTTTAACAAACTAAATGTAATGCATGCTTCCAGACCTCATATATTTTATTCAGAACTGAGTTCAGAAGGATTTATTCTCTAGTAGGGGTGCACAGGTATAGGCTTACCATTCATGCATATCTCCATTCTCTTTTTAAAATCGGAATTACTCTTGGAAGATTGTAAGTCAGTCTATTTTAAAACCGTCCCCCTCTGTTACTCTTCTCTGTCAGCTATGCATCTTTTTCTCCATGGGTGAAAAAGGAGTGGGGAGGAAAATAGGAAGACTGAGCTATGAGCCAAAGTTTATTTAAAAAAAGAAAGAAATTGGGAAATATGTAAATAACTCTATGACATGCTCGGCTGATTTACAATTATTGTGTCTTACCAAACAATGGCAAAGGTGAGGGGAGAACAAGGGGTTATACTCAGGTGCAAAGGCCACTGTGTGCTTTCCAGTATTAGTTGTTCAATAGACTTGCCCTTTTACTTTCTAATAAAGACACATATGTAAATTCCAGATGCACACGAAAATTTGTTGTGTTGACCGTTTTTTTGTTTTTGCAATCTGCAGCAATCGTTGTTAAGTTCTGGCTCTTATTTGGACATTTGTCCCCAGAGGCAAATGTACAAATTCGGGCTTCAGGAATTTAAGGTCACAGACATCCATTGCATCTTATTCACTGCAAATACAATAGTCAAGTACAGGAGAACTTGGGCTCGCTCGCTCTAACATTTATGTCATTTCAATCTATTTAATTGTTTTCAGTTTTGTTTTTTGGTGAATTATAGTGTTGCCTTCACTAGTTTATAATTTGTATTTTTATAGTTCTATAAACCATTTGAAGCAATATTTTTAGTCAGAAAAGCAGTATAAGAAGTTTTTTAAATGATAACATGAACCCTTGACACAATTACTTTGACTACTTTAGACTATGGGAAGAGAAAGGGTTTTAGTGCTGAAATCACGCAATGCGAGAAACCAATATTACATGAATACCATAACACCATTTAAAATCTTGTATTTTAACACACTGTTATGAAGCATCAGATCAGACAGACAAATTTTCAATCTTTATTAATAGGGGAAAGAGGATCTGGAGGGCTTTTAATTATCTATTTAAATGAAATTCTATTAGGAAAAGAGAGAGAAAGAGAGTGAGAAGAAAAAAAATCTGATAGAACAGAAAATAAGAAGAAAAAATAAGAACAGAAATGGACATCCACAATGATTACTGACATACTTGGGGATACATATTCATTTGGGGACGAAAGCACTCCACTGCCATTAAGAAAGAAAGAAAACTGTTTCAGAACTCTCTAAAGTTATACAGAATGCACTTAAAAATCTAATGGAAGAAGTTGGAGGTGCAATTGGGACCAAGCTGATGGGTTCCACGTGAACTGTCAAGAAATATTGGGAAAGAGTTGGTTAAAGTAAAAGCAGAAATCACTATATACAAACTTACATAGAATGCTACTGCGATCCCTTCAAGGATATTCTGTAGTGGAACCTAAGATGTATGGTTGAATTAATACGGAATGCCCTACTAACAGTTAAATTAACCCATATGATGTTTGGGCTGGGTGAAGGGGGGCAACAAGTAGCATCCCCCCCCCAAAAAAGGTGGCTTTTACAGATCAATCATTAGAACACAAATTCTTCATACAGAATTAGCCCTAAAATTTTGGAATGGGTAACATTTATGACAGTGTTGTTTTCTTCTCTTTCCACTGACCTATCTATTGGAAGACTCTGTGCTGTGTCTGATGATGAACAGCAATGACTTTAAAAAAAAAAGAGCAAGAGAAGCAGAGAGAGGGACAGAGGGACAGAGAGAGAGAGAGAGAGGGAGTGGGAGAGAGAAGACAGTACAGACCTCTGGTCATTTCGTTCTTCCTAACCTACCTGAATCTCTGTGCCTGGTGATGGACGGGCCCCCCAAACCGTCTAGCTGGTGAGTGGTACAGCTGTGACAGGAGTGCCACGTTTTTGTTCTGGTTAGGGTTGGCTGCAAACTTCACTGTGATTGGTTCAGAGGAGCCCGGAGGCTTATGGCCATTGAAGTTTGAAATTGCTTCCTCAGCTTCTGATCTTTTGTCAAACCGGATAAATGCAACTCCTCGGGACAAACCTTGAAGTCAAACCAAAAGAAATGAGGGATCAGCATTCCCTTCTTCTCGTTTGCTCGTAACGGTTTTCTGCCTGGACCAGACCACACAGCACCACTATATCCTTTTCCAGGAAAAGGGGAAGCAATCCAGCCCTTATGAAACCTCATGAGGCTCAGGGGCTTCAGTGGAAGTTAAACAAAAAGTTAGCTTGGGCTTCAGTCTCAGTGGGGTGGAATGCCCAACCTCGCCTGGGTTGATAAGGCTTAAGATTCGAATATTTAGAAGGCTTCCAGAATTAACAGCAGACTATCTGCATCAAGCAAAAATGGAATCTTATTTTGTCCTCATCCTGAATTGAGATAGTAATCAAAAGCCGCCTTTTGTGGCACCAGAAGATGTCATCTACCATCACTTCCTGCAGCCATTCCACCCTAATACCCATGTGATTCAAAAAGGGAGGAACAATTATCAATGGGTATATGCTTTAGATCAGTGTCTCTCAAACTTGGCAACTTTAAGGCATGTGGACTTCAACTCCCAGAATTCTGGGAGTTGAAGTCCACACATCTTAAAGTGGCCAAGGTTGAGATACATTATGGCCACCCTTGGACAAATTCTTAAATAGATAGGTCAGCAGCCAGCCAAGTGGACAGGAAATGGCATTGCTTCTGGCTCACACACCTGTAGTTTGATCAACCAGTACACGCGAGTTGATAATGCGTCCAAACCGTGAAAACATGTCTTCAACATCTTTCTGTGTCATTGTCCGTGGCAGCCCACTTATGTATAAGTTTGCATCTTTAATCACCTCAGAGCTTGGGCGAGCATATGACACCTTTAAAAAAAAGGAAAGGACACATTAATTCATACTGTTAAAATCCCTAAAGAAATGTCTAGGATTTAGTAAGCATACCTGCTCACAACTGTAAAATGTTATTTCAAAATCAATGGATGATCCAAGTAGCAGCAACAAGTGACACAGAGAGACCCGACAGTTGCGTTGGTGTTTGTATTTTTACTTGCTAAAACTCCCAAAAGGGTTTGAATCATAACTGCTCATCAAGAGAAACACCTAGTCTGTTTGCTACATTTTCCTTAACAAAAAATTATTTTGTCGAACCCATCAGCAGACAAAACACACAGAAACAGAAGAACAGCTTCTCCCTCATACACAATTTCCTGACAGCCAGCTCGGAGGCCGGGTGGAGCAAAGTGCTTTGGCTTTCTCGACAGCAGGACGCAGAAGGAAGCTGACACCTGCTGGGATCACATAATACGCCAGCCTCCCCCAGCCGGAGGCCTTCCATATACGCAGTGCTGAACGATTCATAAAGTTTTCAGCTCGTGCGATCCTACGAGGGAAGCTGTCACTGGGGAAGGCAGCGATAAACGGCGAAGCAACAGGCCAGCCATCTACAGGGGCAGCTTACTCACAAACCTGCAAGCCATGAAGTATCCAAATGTTACAGTCCCCAGTTGGGCTTTCCAAAGCTGAAGAATGCCAGCTTTGAGGGGTACAAGTAGCTCATTCATAGGGGCGTGGCACAGAGCCAGATGACTCCAGTGGCAAAGCAATGGCAGCTGGACTACTCAGACCGGAGGCCACCTCCTTCCTTATTCTCTGCAGAGGGCTTGTGCCTTCACCTTGGGAGCGATCAGGCAGGGGACAAAGAGCCAAACCCGACCGTGCTTCCGTCACAGTTCTTCCAGTGACACACGGTAGAACCATGGGTACATATTATATTTAGGGCTAAAATATTTTTATTCTGTACATTTACACCTCACCCTTCATCTGGAAAGCCTCCAAGCTGCTCAGGTTTATAGTCTGAAGAAGGGAGGGGGGGAGGGGGGGCTTGGACTTCTGGGAAATGCAGCCTTAATGCATCTGGAAGGGGTCAGGTGAGGAAGGCTGGACAAAAACATTAACATGTTGACACGTTAACAAGATGTCTTAACGACTAATCAGGCTGCAACCTACAATTTTTCTAAGATCATAATTTGTAAAACGTGGGCTGCAAATACCACCTTGGAAGAGACATTTCCTCCTACAGGAGAGAGAATGCATCTTGCATAGAGATTGCCTCATAACTGCAGATTTCACGAAAAAGCAAGAAAAGTAACGCTTTCTTCTTCATCATTTATCTGACAAACGAAACTCTGTTTTTTTTTTTTTTTTTTTTAGTTTTAGTTTTAGTTTTAAAACGCCATTAACAGTTGAGGCTTTTCTCCATGGAATTCTGCACAGCTGCTCTTTGGGTGTTTAGACCCTGGCAGAAGAGAGATCCAGCGGCCACAAGGAGGAAAGAAATGGTCTGCAGGGAAACAGAAGGAACAGGTGAAGTGGAAAAAGGAAGTTTAGATCGTCTTCTGTAGATTACTCAGAAGCAGGATGGCGATCGACAAGCCTAGGGAAATATTTTGGAGAGGAAGAACACGCACCGTACAATAATGCAGACATTTTTACCTTGATAGTTTTGGACTGAAGTCTCAGGCCGTTCAGTGTGTTTATTGCTCTTTCAGCATCTTTAGCCGTCACATAGTTCACAAAACCATAACCCAAGCTGTGCCCTGTAGGGAAAAGGGCTTTTTAATTCTTTTCAGATAGGCAAAAACAAAACAAACCCTTCATTAAAATATGAATATTCCATATTTTAAAAGAAAATCAGCTGTATACATGAAAACATAAATATGAAACATAAATCATGGCAACCTGTTCTCATTTTGAAAATTTGGATCTTTCCAAGCATGGTGTTAAGCTTCTCCTTTATATAGTATCAAATCTGATCTTATTTAATAATCTTCTACTTGTACAATGATCTCTACAATTGGGGGGAGGGGGTTAAATCCACCAGTGCCCTAGGAATTGCAAAGGTGAAAATGTCAAGGCTCAAGCTTTAACAGGTCACAGCAAATTTTAATTCTGCCACAGAAAAGGCCTCTTATTCATAGCATGAACTTCTTTTGAAAGTTACCCGGAGTTTTAAAAGTGGGTGGTCATTTCATAGCAGTCACTGTGATTTAGGTATAGGGAACTAACATCGCCATTCTCTGGATCTTAGAATACCTCAGAAGGCCAGATCCATTCTCCACAACCCTGTTAGAAACCAGGACACATTACAAGTCATGCAGAATGCACTAACCTTTATGCACAGACACATCAAGCTAAACACCTGTTTACAGGTAAGGCAGACACATAACTAACTGTTCGTCCCCACGTATTATTAACAAGACAAGACTTCAATGAAGAATATTTACCTGCAACTTTGTCACGAATAAGCTTGGCAGATTCAACCTCCCCTATGCTGCTAAACAGGCTCCGTAACTCATCCTGGGTCATGTTCTGAGGAAGGTAGTTAACAATTAAATTTGTTCTGCCGATATCGTCCCTGCAGTCGTCAGCCATGTGATCTTCATAACCATTAGACATTTTAATTAGAGATGAAACCTGTCAAAAGGCAAGCAAATTGCTTGATTCTGCATTTTTATGCTATGAACAGAGGTAAAATGAAATCAAAACAGCTCTCTACGATGTCCGTTATAAAGCTGCTTTCCAATCCCAGGGCCCACATATAACCCTTTCAAACCAACAGGGCCTGTGGGCAATATGAGTTCTGCTGAATTTCCTAAAGAAAACCAACTTGGGGAAGGCTGTATTGAAATCGTATGTGGATTATCATCACAAATTTGAGAATTTAACTGCATAAGTAAGGTGCAAAGGGATTATATGTTATATAGTGATAACATCAACCAGACATTCTTGCAATTACTTCTGTTACTTCCATAAAATATAGCTGTTTTTCCACATCCACTACAAATGTCTGATGTACATGCAAGGTATTTCTCCAAACTACACAAAGAATTGTCACTAAAACACCTGAATTGCTGACACCCTCTCTCCATGTTTCTCCTTCAATGTTACGTATAATTGCAGTTAATTACATGCTTCGTAAGACCACAGCTCAGCAGAACCCCTACTTTTTCATCTCTACGTAAATAACATGCACATGGTTTAACTTTCTTTGCACAGGCTCAAACTGTCAGGCACAAATGGACAAATTTACATCCACTCACAACGGGTGTGTGTGTGTGCTGTGCCTGAAAGTCAGTGTTGACTCCCGGCGGCTGACTGGACAAGTCCCTGCAGTTTTCTTGGCAAGATTTCAGAAGGGGGTTGCCATCGTCTTTTTCCTAGAGCTGAGAGAGAGTGACTGGCCCAAGGTCACCAACTGGTTTAGTGCCTCAGACAGGACTAGAACTCATGGTTTCCCGGTTTCTAGCCTGGTGCCTTCACCACTACACAAAACTGGCTCCCACTCACAATGATTATATGCCTGATAATCAAGGGCAGTGGTTTTATATGCAGAACACCTCAGATTCAATCTCTGGCTCTTCCAAGTGAAATGGTTTTAGGGGGTCTGGAAGAGACTGCCGCCTGCAAAGCTGTTATCAGTCAGTGAACAAGGAACGTCTCTGTAAAGCCAGATCCCTCTTAGTCAGTTTTATGGGAAAGGCCTTACGCTATAGTATTGCTTCTTCTGGTTCTTCTACCAATGTCTGCTTCTGTGTGAGATGCACACCATTCAGGAGTACTCTTAACCGGGGGAAGGGAGGCAACAGTCCTAAAGTTGACTAAGAATGGGGCAAACTCTCCAAAAAGAGAAGGATCAGAAGGGATGTTTGCAGTTCCACAGTTCTCTAACAATACAGACTGACTAGATGGTTCTTCCTTCTAGCCTCAGTGGTCCACCCTAGGAGACTTCAAAGGGAGGCCTTCCATCCCACATAACTGAGTCAATCTTACTCCTGATGAAAACAGAAAATAGTCACACACAGCCCTCTTTGTGCTATGCTGAAAACCAAGACAATGGGAACACACACAGGAATGGAGAGCCCTACATACACGCAGGGACAGGAGGAGTGGACCCCACCTTCCCTTTAGGCACTATAGGTACCAAGTACCTTTCTATCGATGGAAATATGGAACTTCATGACATCGTTAGATGGTATTTCGCAGCAGTGGATCCAAATCTGGGAATCAAGAGTCTCCAACATCGACCATCACCAGTACAGACATGGGAGCTGGCATGAGGGAGGGGTTATCCCACTTCCTATGTTTCTAAAAGCACTCCTCCATGCTGGGACCACAGGGGCTTATTTAGCTTCAGATGGGAGGATGCTGCAAGAGAACAGTAACCGAAGGGGGCAGCTGATACTCCCCCTCTTGCTACGGGTCACTCCTGTTCTCATGCTACTCTCCAGACACTCAGCAACAATTTAGGGTCCCAAACACAGCTCTGTCCTCAGTGGAATGCCCAGCCCACACCTAGGTGGGTCCGAGGGTGCCAGCCACACAAGAGACTGATCAAAGGCAGATTCTTCATTCTTCCTTGGGACATTCTTGAATGACATCACAATCTAAAGCAATACGAATCTATGTCTACAGAGGATCTTTCAGCAAAGCTGCCAGTGGACACAGAGCTTGAACTAGACCTCAGTATCTCCCTAGGGCCCAGTCACTAAACTGCTTTTATTTTTTGACCCCCTGCAAGGGAAGGAGGAACAACAGGCCAGACCATTTAAACAAGAACTTCCCAGCAATAATGTGTTCCAAGTTATTCTGTCAATCTCGAATACCACATTTGGAGTCATAGCCTGGCCTTTCCATTCTGCACACGTACACTACAGAACCAATGCTAATTGACATAAATTTTCCCATGCACAAAAGCTTGTTTCATGCTCAATGGTGAGAAAAAAGGAAGTAAAATTCACTGGAGCTGACAGTGGACAAAATACATGCCTAAGTTAAACAGAAAAGGCCTTTCAGCAAGGAAACTGTAGCACTCTTCTACAGTTGAAAATTTTTTAAGTCTAGCATATTATTTTCCTATAACAATTACACAAAAAGTTGATTTCATCATGAGTAACACTACATATTACAATAGCCTGAATGGTAAGGTAAAGATAATGTGCAGTTTTATTAAAAACAATCTAATAAAAAAGTAAAAGCAGTTTTTAATGACGTCCCAACAGTTACATGAACTCAGTTTTTGAATAAACAAATTATTCCTGTTTATCCCCATTCTATACTGGCCAGTATTACCATATTTAATATTCGAAAAATGTACCTCTATTTCAATTATTGAAAGAGAAATACTACACAATGGCAAACAGAAACAAAAAACACAAAGTATACTTTGATATTATTTAATTACATTTAATGAACTACTGAATAACCAAGGGGGGGGGGATGTTATTTGAAAGAAGGGGAACAGCAGGTGGGGGATACAGGCAGGCTTCAGGGAAACATTCCATTAATGGAAAAAGTTATGTCAGAAAATATCACTAACCCCATACCAAAATCTGACACTATTTAAACATTGCTACAGTTGCATTTATTACTATTTCAGAGAACATTTAAAGATGAATGGTATTACCCATCCATGTATCCCTAACAATGTGGTTGCAACAATTGAATGAAGCTGAAATTTAAAACATGCTTAACTGGGCATCACCTGCCAATGTGAAAAGATCCCACCATCAGAGCAAGGCTGATACAAAACTTATCAGAAACCTACCCTCTAGTTCTAGCCACTCTGTAAGGAAATTAAATGCACACACACCCACACAGAGAAACACCTTATGGCAAGATGTACAAAGTCTTGCACAAGGTAACTGGGGAAGGGGAAAACAAGAATGGGGCTAGGCAAAGAACAAAATAAATGTAAGAGCAAGATCAGAATATATATGCAGAAAAGGTTCTGGGTTCAGTCCTCATCGCTGTGTTTTAGTTATCTGAAACTGTTCTATTCTGCTTGCCATTAAAAACCCTTAAGCGGTTTACAATCTAAGGGTTGGGAATTATTTTTCATGAAACACTGGAGAGCCAAAGTCAGTAGAGACAATTGTTACGTGCTGAACAGGGAAGTAGTACAAATGCGTAATACCTTGTGTGAAACACAATCATAACGGAGCCAGATGTGGATGGCAGCTTCCTACATCAAGGCAGCCAGATGTTACATTAATGGATATTACTGCAAACAACACTGATGTATAATTCCCACTGGAATGATGGTGCTGAAAAAACAACTTTATGACCACGGCCCACATTTATGACCTTCATAGTACAGTACAGTCAGTACATCTTGTCCTGTGCCTGACCTGTTTCCCCGCCCCCCTTGCAGAGCGGAGAGATTGGAGAGGAAGGGATTATAATAGAGTAAGCAGGCACAAAATGGAGAATACACATCAAAAGGAATGCACAGAGTGGAGAGATTGCTTAAGCAAGCTAGAGGGGAAAAAAGGAAAAAAAGTGATCTCTACGCAATCTTTCCTGTGCCTGACCTTTTTTTTTTTCTTTCCCCCACGAAAGCAGAGAGATTGGAGAGGAAGGAATTACAAGCAGCACACATGGGAAATCCACCAGACTGTTTGTGTAGCGCACCGCAAGCATGCTCAGGACTGCCAGCATCACTGCATTCCTTCTGATGTGTATTCCCCATTGTGTGCCTGCTTACTTTTTTGTAATCCCTTCCTCTGCAATGAATGTAAATATAAACATTAATTCCCTTCTTGCTAATTATCCCAGCACCCAGCTGGGGTGAGCATTCCAAAGGGCGGAGGAGTGGGGAAAAGGCACAGTCCTAGTCACATGATTTCCCATTTAGCAACCACTTTGCTTAATGACAGAGCTGTCAGTCGCAATTCTGGTGGCTAAACAAGGACTACCTGCATAGTAGAATGCAAGTCAAAAGTTCAAAAGAATAAATAAAAATCCTAAACTAAACTAAAAATGTAATAATTTTATGGTACCTCCTAAAAATGAGAATGCTTTTTTCATACCTTTAATAAATGCAATTCAATCAAATAAATCTTTTTTCTCCTACGTTGCTTCTTAATTTTCACTGGATTTTTTTTAATCCTTTCACTTATTTATTATTTATTAGATTTATCTCCACCCATCTCTCCCAATGAGGGACTCCAGGTGGCTCACAAGATCTGTTAAAGCAATAAATACATATAAAATTACACAAAACATGAAAACTATGCAAAGCATTACTGAAAGAAAAGAGAAAGTCCAAGAGGCTGATGGTTCCAGAGCTGCAGACCACAGGCCTCTAAGGGGCTAGCCATCCCTATACTTGGTGTCTTCCCTCCCCACCCCAGGCCAAGCGGCAGAGCCAGGTCTTCAGATCTCTGCAGAATGCCAGGAGTGAAGGGGCCAAGATTTTCCAAAAGGCGAGGGCTACAGCAGAGAAGGCCCACCTTCTGGACCCCGCTGACCGGAGCTTTTATCGAGGGGGTCCGAAGCATGTCCTCTCTATGTGATTGGGTGGGACGGGCTGAAGTCATGTGGAAGAGGCAGTCCCTTAGGTAACCCAGTCCCATGCCATGTAGGGCTTTAAAGGTGATACCAACACCTTGAATTGGACCCAGAAGCAAACTGGTACACAATGCAGCTCGCAGAGCAACAG